TTTTTTTTTTTTTTTTTTACAGTGCTGGAGACCAAACCCATGGTCTTACCGTTAAAGACAAATGGTCTACCACTTAGACACATACATCTCTTGCCCTTTGTATTTTTTATTTTGAAACAAGTTCTCTCTAAATCTCCAAACTGCTCACGCTGGTTCTCGAATTGCAGTCCTCTTGTCTGCTCTAGTGCTGAGATGATAGACATGTCCCACCATGCCCTCCTTGAGGTGGTGAACTTAATAGGTGGAGACTATCTAGAAAAGACTGAAGACTACTCATTTGTCTTCTTTGATAAGAAAATATTCGAAAGGTTTTCAGCCCAGTCCAATAATTCATTGTCCTTGGGTGATGTTTGTTTGTTTGTCTTTTCAAATTAGAAAATTAGTTCCTGGTTTAGTCTGTGATTTTGTGGAGGGGTGGAGAAAGACAGACAGACAGACAGATAGACAGGCAGGCATAGAGCTGGGCCCAAGACAAGATACATTCTGTCTGCATAAACTCCATGTCAAAAAAATGCATCTCATATTATTTGTTTTTTATATTCTAGTTGTCTGAAGGAAACCAAAAACATGCAAGCCTACAGAAAAGCATCGAAAAAGCAAAAATTGGCCGTCGTGAGACCGTAAGTTTGTCTGTCGATATTTACTAATGACAATCCTAAACAGACATGTAAGAAAGAGCACAGAGCTTCCTGTGAGGAGGGTTCCTTTGATATCAGAGAGAGCAGATCACAGCCAAGGACTCAGGGCGTGAATGTTTGGCCTGGTGGCATTCACCAGTTGTCATTCTAGGTTTTTCAGGAGTGGTACTGGGGCTTAAGAGCCTTAGGTAGAGAGAGTGTGAGTGGGTGTGCACTTGTGCACGAGTGCACACATGTACAGAGAACGCTGAATTGTAAACCCTGGAGTCAGACTGCTTGAGTTTCCAAGTCTTCTAAGTTCTTGATTTTGCCCATTGTAAAATGTGAATAATAAAATCTACTTCACTGGATTATTTTGTGGGTTAAACTAGTTAAAATTTAGAAGATAATCTGGTACATCGTAAGCCCTATTAAATATTTATACTTTTTAAAGGGGTTTTAATTTTTTACACATAAACTATAAGTGATCAGCTAGTATCTTTGTTGCTTTACAGTATTTTCCATTTAAATGAGTATTGACTTGTTTTTTAAATGCAGTGTGTTTTATAGTATGATGTTAGAGATTTTTAAAAAATCACTTTCTACTGTTCTTATCTCTGCAATGGACTTAAAAAAGATCCTTTTAAGATTGAAAATCATGGGCTGGTGAGATGACTCAGTGGTCTAAAGCACCTACTTAGAACAAGCTTAGCAAAGCACAGGGCAGGGACCGCGGTTCAATCCCCCAGCACCACATGCCAGCCAGCCCCACCCCCTGGTGGGCTGAGCTGGCCACACACACACACACACACACACACACAAATGAATTATTTAAAAAAAAAAAAAAAAAGATTGAAAATCAACGTGGGCCACTAAGCTTTTTCCTGGGCCTCTGCATCCCTTGGTTATGAAAGAAAGGGACCTGAGCTCTTGCTGCACGACAGCGAGGGATCCGTCGCAGGCTTAGTTGGTGGTCAGCGCAGTCCCAGGTGGACCTGGGGGATGCTAATTCTGTAGCATAGTCAAAGGAAATTAAATTCTGGTCACAGCCCCACACTGTTACCATGTCTTCATTGATTGTAGTAGTTTTGACTTTTTTGGATCCTCTTGCTTTTTTTTTTTTTTTTTAATTTTTTAAAAATTTATTTAGTTGTGTGTGTGTGTGTGTGTGTGTGTGTGGCCAGCTCAGTCCACGGGGGGCGGGGGGGCACGCCTGGCTGGCTTGTGGTGCTGGGGGGTTGAACTGCGGTCCCTGTGCTTTGTTAAGCTTGTTCTAAGTAGGTGCTTTAGACCACTGAGTCATCTCACCAGCCCTGGATCCTCTTTCTTAAACAGCAGTGATAACTTATAGAAGTGCTGTCCACAGAAGTGCCACCACACGCATGCCCAAAAGCTGTGGGCCTGTCCACTGAGTGTCACTTAATCTCCCGGAAGGGTGCAGGTAGGAGCAAATCAACCAGCAGAGCTGACTGTCCGTTGTGGCTGTCAGGGGGAGTTGGAAATTTGGAAAAGCCCCTAACAAAGATGAAGTCTTGCCAACCTGTATATTTCCAGAAATCCCTGCCCCTCTCCAAGGCGCCATCCTTGGGATATGAGGCTGCTGCCAGCAGCGGGCAGGGGCTTCACGCCCACTGTGAGCCTGGCAAGCACTTTCTACATTCATGTCGTAGGTTTATTAAATCCCACGAGCACTAAGGAGTCCACCCCAGAGTCCGTACCACTGCTGTGCACATTTTACACTTGGGGAACTAGGGGCACGAAGCGGTTTGGTCCTGTTGCAAAGGTCCAGCATCAGTAACTGAGATGGCATGGATGCAGTGTCTGGGGAACTGTTGTGGGGCTTGTGTGGAGCTGACCGCACTGCTTCTCCCTTCTTTGGCCTCTTCTGTCTTCCCTTTGACACATATATAGTGCAGTGTTGATGGCGAATGATGATCGCTGTCTTATATTCTAGTCATTTTTAAATCCATGCTGTGCTATTACGGTACATACCTGCCTTAGGCAGCTGTTTACATTAAGATACAATTAAACTTAGTTTCTTGGTCACCAGAGCCACGGTTCATATACTCAGTAGGCACACGCCGTAGGGAGTGCAGGTCTGGAACATTGCCGTCATCTGTTGGGCCTCACTTCTCAGAGCCTGCCACTTGTGTATGCCTTCTCCTCTGTGGATGCCAGCAAAAGGGGCTTTTCTTCACTTTGCAACCAAAGGGCATAGCCAACGGCAAATTAGGAAAGCATAATACAGGGCCATGGAGATAGCTCAGTGGCGTAAGCGCATGCCTAGCAAGAACAAGGTCTTGTGTTTGATCCCCAGTACCAGAGAGAGAGAGACAGGGACAGAGACAGAGACAGAGACAGAGACAGAGACAGAGACAGAGAGAAAGAGAGAGAGACCATAATGTATTTAAAAGACTTATTCTGGTTTACCCTTAAGGAAAATGGTAGGCCTCAACTCTAATTCTGTGAATTCTGATATCTTTAATTATTAATAAAAATTAATAATCCTTTAAGTTAGGAAAATTATCTGGAATACTTCTTAAAGAAAAATTTCCATAAACTATGACTTTAAAAAATAAGCCCAACTGTCCATGTTGGTGGTACAGTGGCCAGCATAGCTGCCCTCCAAAACTAAACACTATCTTTTTTTTTTTTTTTCTAAACACTATCTTGTAAAGTTTTTCAAGTATGATTGTTTTCTTTAATATATGACAAGAGCCGGCCAGAGAGCTGAGCGGACTGAAGCGCCTACCTAGGCAGGTGCAGTGACCGGGATTCAATCCCTGGCATGCTGTGCTGGCACCGCCCTCGGGGCACACTGAGACAGCATTTGAGACTGGGCATGGAGGTGCATGCCTGTAATTCTAGTGCTTGGGAAGCTGAAAACAGGTGGATCACTACTAGTCTAATCTGTGTAGTGAGACTCTGTACTAAATACAAACATGTATATTCATCTTTGAATTTATCCAGGTATAATTGATAACCTGAACTATTTGTTAATATCCTATTGTACATGTTTATTCCCATTTTTCTACATAAATAGAAGATGCTTGAAGTTTCAAAGAAAGATAAGCCTTGAGCTTGTTTCCACACTGCGTATGTGCTTGTAGTGCCCTAGGGTCCAAGGTGCTTCGTTTTAGGACCCTCTGGGGACTCAGTCTGTGGGTCCCTAAGTCCCTGTCAGTGGGATAGTATTTGCAGATAGCCTATGCCTGTTTTCATTACTGAGGATTAATCCTAGAGTATTCCCCTGAGCTCCATCCCCAGGCTTTTTCTATTTTGAGACAAGTTCTTGCTAAGTCACTGAGTTTCCCAGGCAGACTCGAGCCGTGGCTTCACAGAGTACTGGGCTGTAGGAGCGGGTCACCACAGCTTGCTCCACAGCAGCTTATAACTAATCTCTAGATTGATTATAACACCTAATGCAATATAAATGCCATGTAAATAGATGTTGTACTAGGTTTAGGAAATAAGAACCAAGTGTATATCTTCAATAGAGATGTAAGTTTATTTTTTAATATTTTCAGTCCATGGTTGGTTGAATCTGTGAACACAGACTCTGTAGATATGGAGAGCTGACTGTAGAAACATATTAATATAAAAAACCTAAATATATCATTGATAAGAAATCAAGTGTTTATAAAGTTTATTGCCTTATAACATGGATTTTTTTTTTGTCTTACTTGTACATAAAATATTTTGAATTTAGGAAGAACGAGCCATGCTAGCAAAAGAGCTTTCTTCACTTCGGGACCAAAGGGAACAGCTTAAAGCAGAAGTAGAAAAATACAAAGAATGTGACCCACAAGTTGTGGAAGAAATACGTAAGTTTCAGACTAAGCACCTTCTTAGGCAAGTACAGGGGCCAGGGTTTGATTTCCAGTCCTGCATGCTGCGCCAACCCCACCCTGGGGCGCACCAAGCCACCGACCAAGTCTGGGCATGGTGGCACATGCCTGTAATCCCAGTGCTGGGGAGGCTGGAACCAGGAAGATCACTACTGAGTCTGAGGTGTGTAGTGAGACCCTGTATGTATCAAATACATAAATCAAAAAATAAAAAGAAAGAAAGAAATGCACAAGTTTGTATTGTAGCTTGAATGTCTTTAACTTAGGCAATGAACAAGATCTTTGCATTTCTTGTTGCCTGGTAAGCTTAGTCTCCAAGTAGAGGAACAAAGAAAGGCAGTTAAAAGAGTATGGTGCTCTGTGTTTGTAGCATAAAAGGAAAATGCTGTCATACTTTCAGTAAAAAGACTTATGTTAAAGCATCTGAATACTGACAACTCTGAAATCTAGCATTTCAGAAGTAAGGGAAGTGAATGAAATCAAAGAATAAAGACATAAAATACAAACTTAGGAAACTCAGAAGTCAGAAGAGAAGTTAATTTTGCTCAGTATCTGGATTCTGGAAAGAAATCTACCATTACTTTTTATTTATTTATTTATTTTTGTATTTTAGGTGTTCAGAGTCTCACTACTAGCTTGGACTCATAGTGATGCACCTGTTTACAGCCTCCCAAGAGCTGGGATTACAGGTGCACACCACCGTGCCCAGGCTCTATTGCTGTCTCATCACGCATCCGAGGCGGGGCGGGCATGGCAGGCCGGGGAATGGAATCCCTGGCCCCTGCGCCTACTTGCAAGTACCACTACTTTTTAGGGAAAAAGACATTATAAATAATAAGAGTTTGAAAGTTGTAAACTTTATGAAAGTTGTAAAATTACATTCTGTGCATTGAGTTGCCTTTTGAAAATACAAGTGATTTCCTACCCCTTTTTAAACAAGAATTCCCAGCTCTGAAATTTTTGTATGCTTAGATAGAAATTTGTACACTTGAGGAAATTAAAGTATGTGTAAATATATACCATTTAATTGCTTATGAAAATACATATTTTTTTTTTTCATCTACTTCTACCTTAGCCTGTCTCTTATTTCGGTAAGTTTACCTAGTGAAACTTGTAGAAAAACTGGCAGTACAGAGTAGGATTGAAAGTGTTGAGAGAAACTTAAAATATTTGGTCCTTGAAGATATACCCTTAAGATGTACCTGAGGATGGCTGGTTTCAGGTAAGCTGGGCTAGCCCTTGGTGGGACTTCGAATTTGAGAACGTTTGAGCAGTTCCATAAGCATAGTGCCGCAGTTAGCTTCACTCTGAGGCAGCGCCACACACACCTGGGGACCCTGGCCTTCGCTTAGCAGTGATGCGGCGAGTCAGCCAGATGCACAGAGATGCAGTACAAGAACTCCCTGAGCCAATCTTGTTGCGAAATTAAATGTTTAAGGAAGCAAATCCTTCACACTGCCCACAGACATGCTTATCATCACTTGCAGCTGAGCCACGCTCTAACCCTGGGGCATCTGCATGATCATTTTAACCTGATTGAAAGCTTTAACCGGTACCAGCTGAGCGTCATTGCACAGGTGGAAGGAGACAGGTAGGTGGTAACTGCCCCAGGTTAGGCCTGCTCCTGAGCCTGGAGGCACCACCAGGGGCAGCGGGAGCCTGGCTCCTGGTTTCCTACTGGGGTCTGTGACTTTCAGGATCGGCATGGCTGTGGCCTCTAGCAATTTATGATAAACCTGAGTTTTCACTGTCACTAAATCTGGTCCTTCTTATGTTACTCTTTATGTGCCTTCTTTCTTTTTGCTTTTGGTTTTTGGTTGATTGGGCCTTTTCTTGTTCTGGTTTGACTCGGTTTTGGTTTTTTGAGACAAGATCTTGGCAACATAGGCTTGAATTTCTGACCCTCCTGCCTCAGCCTCCCAGCTGCTTGGATTGCAGGTATCCACCACACTGGCTTGCCTCCCTTCCTGAGTGAAGTTCTGGGTAATCCTGGTACTGTTGCCTTGGATTAGCACCTCTGCTCCTTGTTCTGTTTCCTTTCTGGTCAGGACCAACAACTTTGGCCAGACTCCATCAAAGATCCAGCTTTTCAGCTCTGTAGTCCCCATCGAACTGCCACAGATCTTTCCCTGCAAAAGGGACCCCGACTGACTTCACATCCATGAGTGACTTTCCATTTTTACGGCCCTTTTCAGAGTTTTGCCACCTATCCACTCCAGAATGACTAAAACTTTTATTCGGCTTCTTACATTACTTCTTTTGCTTGTTTGGTATCGATAGTGACCCTGTAGCAGCGGGCCATCTGGAGGTTTGGGGTATGGATGGGCACCTGAAGCTGTGCACGACTGGCTCACCCCGTAGGCAGGCTTATTTCAGGCAGGTAATGAAGGGTCTTGCCATTCTTGCATCACCTCAGAGAAAGGTAATAAAACTTGAAAGAAGACTTTCCAGGGTATGCAGAAGACTTTATGAAGTATGAAGTAGCAAGTTTGAGGAGGAAGTTGCCCCTGTGCAACTTAAACTTATACGTCCAATGTCTTGATATGAAAACTATGCTGTTTGACATAAAAAGTTTAGTGGTTTGGATCAACAGCAGATTAAAGTTTGCAGAAGGGCCCTTGTATTCAAACACATACCAATAGAAACTATCCAGAATGAAGTAGAAAAACATTTTAATATGAAATGTCATTCTTAGCTGGGTGTGGTGATGTGTGCCAGTAATCCTAGCACTGTGGGAGGCTGAGGTAAGAAAACCATAAATTCCAAGCCAGCTTGGTCAACTCAGTGACTTAACAAGCCCCTGTCTCAAAATAAGTAAAAAGGGGCTGAGTATGTAACTCATTCAGTGCAAAGGCCCTGGATTCATCGTCTGTCTCTCTCTCTGTCTCTCTCTCTCTCTCTCTCTCTCTCTCTCTCTCTCACACACACACACACACACACACACACAACTACCCCCCACACCTGTGAGCTGGAACACAAAGAGACTTTGCTGAGCTAGAAAGATACCTGAAGATACAAAGCCTAATTTGTTACAAATTTGGTGGCAGCCACAAATCTAAGAAACCTAAAGGGGATTGCTGGCCTTTACCTTTATTACATAAATCTTTAAATTTCTTAGATTTGTAGCTGTCACTAAACTTAGAGAACTTTGAACTTTTATCTCTACCCCTCAAAGGCCCTTTCTCCAATGAAATCATTGTTTTCAGTTGTGCTTTTATATATTTTATATGATAAAGAATTTCATAGGATTTTAGCTATCATGTTAGGGCAGAACAGATTATACCAGATTAAAGGATTATAGATTTTACAAATTGATTTGAATAGGATTTGGTTCTTAACATCTGTAACACCCATATTAACATGCAGGTTTTTATCTAAGTCTGTCATGGTTTATTTTGGAACACAATTTGCTGATAACCATAAACCTTTCTTCATATAGGTATGACTGTGAATTATCTCTTATTTCTCAATAATGCCTGTAAGAAATATATATATTTAATCATTCCATTTGAATTGTAGCACTAAGCAAACATTAGCATGACTCACTGCAAATATCCAAAAAGTAAAAAGAAGAATTTACTTTTGAAGTAAAATTATGACTACATTATTTAAATAAGACTAGAGAAAATAAGTGCCTAGTAGAAATTTAATTTCCCACAAGAAGGGCTGGTGAGAGAGCTCGGTGATCTAGGTGCCTGCCTGACAAGTGCAAGGACCTGGATTCGATTCCTGGTACTGCATGCCCTGCCGGTGCTGCACCATGCAGGCCACTGAAACTGGGCGTGGTGATGCGAGCCTGCATCCCCGCTCTGGGGAGGCTGCGACAGGAGGATCACTGTGAGTCCAATCTGTATAGCGAGACCCTGTACCAAATAAATCTGTTAAAAAAAAAAAAAAATTCCCACAAAAATAGTTGAAAGTAAATGTTAGAAATACTCGAGAAAATTTCCTAAAATTAAATGCTAAAGTGACAAAAATAGTAATCTAAGCATCTTTAAAACTTTGCCCTTCCACAAAAGCTTGCAGAAATTGTTATAACTTTTTCAAAACTGAAACTTAACCAATGGCTTGCAGCCTTCATGAAAAATGGCTGTCGCTCAGTAAAAAATAGTGAATTTTGGTGGTGCTTTGGCCTGTGCAAGCTGCACACAGCACTTGGGAGGGAGGGAGGGAGGGAGGGAGGAATCGGTCACTCAGGACCTGCTGCTGGCCAGGCAGGCGCTGTGCCACTGGGCTATACATCTGAGTCTGTCATGGTTTAGTTATTGTTGGCCCCTACAGCATATTTATAGAATAATGCTGGGCAGTGGAGATACCCACACAATTATCTTAAATGGATGAAATAAAAGATATTTGATAAAACTACACAGTCTTATTATTAAAAACACTCATCAAAGTAGGAATAGAGGTTGAGAGAGCCTTTTGACCAAGATGGAGCCAAAGGTGAAGAAGGAAGCCCTTGTCCCTCCCAAAGTTGAAGCCAAAGCAAAAGCTTTGAAGGCCAAGAAGGCCATGCGGAAAGGCATCCACAGCCACAAAATGAAGAAGATACAAACGTCACCCACCTTCCACCATCCCAAGACAATGTGGCTCTGGAGGTAGCCCAAATACCCTCAGAAGAGTGTCCCCAAGAGAAACACACTTGACCACTATATCAAGTTCCCCTATCACAGTCAGTCATAAAAACATTGAGGACAGCAACACACTCGTGTTCATTGTGGATGTCAAAGCCAATAAGCACCAAATCAAACAAGCTGTAAAGAAGCTGTATGACTTCGATGTTGCCAAGGTCAACACCCTAGTCAGGCCTGATAGAAGAAGGCATATGTTCAACTGGCTCCTGATTATGATGCACTGGATGTTGCCTACAAAACTGGAATCATCTAAGCTGAGTCCAGCTGGCCAATTCTAAATGCATACTTTTTTCTCAGTTAAAAAAAAAAAAAGATAGGAATAGAAGTGAACTTAGCCTCATC